GAAAAAGGAATATTTCTCCTGGCAAAAACTTGTATTATTTCATAAAAGTTCCACTTTCAAGGCTGACTCTCGCAAAACAGAATAAGAGTTGTGTACTATGCTGATAAAGCAATTTAATACCTGTATTTAGTAAACATCGATGTGGGTTTTCGGTAAATAAGCAAACATTTGAGCTGTCAACAACATATACTACTATCGAGAGACGTTGACTCCATTCTAACATGCGATTCCATGTACCACAAAGTATCCATCATATGTTAACTTTGGACCGAATTTATTGTTTTGATTCTCAATCTCATTAGAATCAAAACACATGTAAAATGTCTAGATTTATGAAAAAAGTCGTCAATTACCAGATTTAATTCTGATAAGATGGGTTCGATTAGTGGAATGCACATGGACGTATTCTGACATGATGTCTGGAGATAGGCAGTGTACTGTAACCGAGACTCCCGGACCTTTCAACATCGTGCCTTGACTTCATAAGTCCGGATCCCCAATCCGATACTTCAATTCCTGGATTGATCCGAGGCTACTCTAATTTCAAATTCAGACCATACACTCGTCTTCATATAGAAGGTAGACTCGTGTAGAATCTTACATAAAGTAATAGATTCATACCTTCACTGAAACAGAACGTGGTAAACGCCCGAATGAATACTTTCGGAACCGTTGAACTCAGTTAATAAATTTAATGGAGGTCAAGATAGAGCAGACCAATTTTTATTGATAATCGGCTTACAGATTTCCAGAAATGTATAAGCACTAAAAAAAGTGAAGTAACGATGACAGACGAAAAGTTAACTTCCTAAAACTAATAGTCTGGGGAAAAGATCACTGGAGGAGTGATTGCGATTCAAGTTAAAGGAACAGCAACTTAATTTACAATATTTTTAAGATGGATTTCAATAGCAAAATAATGAAAACAATAACACATCCTAAACAATGATAATTAAATATTATAATATGTAGCATTAAATTTACCCACAGGGGCTAAATAACAAAGGGAAAAGCCCTGAAATAAACGAAAGTGCTTTCTGAAGTGAATGTAAACTTGATACAAACTCACCAACACAAATAGTTATTAACAGACACTATGAGGGAAAATCGAAGCAACTTCTAAAAAAGCTCAAATTAAAAATAAGAGACGAACTGAAGTTTTTAGTTTCAAAATTATCGGAGGTCAGTTGCGGGTTTTCCCCTCCATTCCGTTCTTACTTAGTGAGGTCAACCCTTGGTTCCTCATTAGTTGCGCCACTGTACAACCCTTGCAATGGCTGCCTGATTCTCTAAAGATGTGAATAACTTGACCAATAGTTGTTTGACTTAATCTATGAACTTAAACTTTATTGGCTAATTACGTTCCCTTGTCCCATCTCAAGAAATGTCGTCAGCGTTCAGTCCTTCCTTAAGTTTATGCAACATGCCCTTTTCAGTGGCGTCTCGTGAATCTACTTGCGCGGGGCAATCCCTGCAATTTTCAATCATTTGAATGTGACACCGAGGTCAGAAATTGAGATTTCCCCTCAAATAATTATAAAAAATTTACATAGCATTTAGGTAAAACTAACGGTGAATTTCTTCCAAAATTTGAATACTTTTTAGCAAAAGTTAGCTTCGTTTGGATTACGTCGTTAGTTTCACCTATTCCTCTCTAATGATTATTTCCAAACCGCATCTATCAACGAGTGCGTTGACAGAATGTAAAATCTATCCAGCCTGGTGCACCTGTTCATATCAGCTAGGGAAAAAAATCTACAAAAAACCTAGCTGTTTATCTCATCTTTTACATATTTTCCCACAAATCATGACAAATTTCAGTAATTTGCTAGGCTTCGGAGGTCTTAGGTACCCTATGATACGCTTGACCATTCAGCGCCCAGGGTAGCTTCTAACATCTGATAACCAAATGGTTGATTTTCTAGTTTCCCAGCGCTTCTTTCGTCGCAAACTTTATAGATATAGCAAACAATTTTTTTGTATTGGAAAGATCCCTATATTTTCTCACGTGTTACTTGGGAGCTCCCAACTTGATTGCATCCGGTTCTATTGTATATTTTCCATAAAATATCAATTAGGGTAATATCTTCCCTTGACGTCCGCTGGGTGGTTTGCCGATGTTGAAAGTTTGTTCTGTTTTTAGTTTTTATGTTTATTGTGATTTTATGGATTTTACAGTGGTAGGCGGCATCTGTGGATGTTCTGCTACGGTTTCGATTTGTTTTTTTTTCGCATAAATCGCCTGCTTGTATTTGGTAAATATTATTCCAATGGACCAAATTATTAGGTCGGTATATTCATCCGCTCGTCACACTTTTAACCCAGATAGAATATTGGGATTTACCAGCGACGAATCATTAAACGGGAAGTCATTCTGCGTTTTTATTAGGACATTGATGGTTCGTTTGCAAACATCTATTTAATTAGTTCGTTTGTATCCAAGATTAAACAGTCAGCATGTGGCTAGTCCTGATGACGGAGGTCGGAGGATTCATCAGGATTCAGCAGGATTGCATTTGTCCTTCGAGGATGCAGCTAATTTGAATCCGCCCAGCTATGTCCAGAGACGTAGCGAAATTGGATTCCGCATTTATTTCCAGCTTTGGATTTGAGGGCTATACGGGATGTTCCTTACAGATGTGCTAGCACTCAGATTCCTCAAGTAATTTTATAAAGAAAAGTGTATACGTAGAAAAAGTATTTCACATAAGTTAGTCAAAACAAACTGGTTGAATATAAAATATACTCGAGGACTGCATAGCGGATGCTTTTATCATAAGCTTGTGACCATGAAAACTTCTTCAAATTTATATAACAGAGCTTCCATTGCCAAGATGTATACAAAGTAAGCATAAGGTCCAACACTACAATCACACTAGCTCTTTGGAAGATCCTTTTCTTATAATATCTCCAAAACATATAATGCTGTCCCTCAATGCTTAAAATCCAAATCGCTGGATTCTTTCACAAAATACTAGGTTTCTGAGATCTCGCTATAGTAATGTATCATGTTAAATATCTAAACGGATTATTCTTACACTTTGTATAATCTCAATATGCACCTGTACGTATATACGATTACATCTATCTCTTATTGTATTTTTCCCATTTTCTTTCTGTTTGTATTTTGTCAATATGATTATTAATATTATTATTGTTACTATTACTCTTATTATTATTATTATATTGTTATTTCCGAGAATTAATGACCCAGAGAGCTTTGTATTAATTTAACCTGAATGTGACACATTTAGATTTAAGTATTCATACTCATCAATTCATTCACACGTAATATGTAATTGAGAAGCTTTTATTTACCATTATGCGCTAATGGAAAAAATTCAGGGATCAAATAAAAATTGTAAATTCTTAGTGACTTCTTGAATCGCAGTTGTCTAAATAAAAAATGGTGGTACTGAGGTCTTCAGGGAGCATTTTAAGCTCCAAATGCCTACTTTTTGGATGTTTTAGTCTAACAAATTAGAAGCTGCACTAGCTTATTTTAATCCTACGAAATAGTGTGATGAAAAAAAGGTGTTTTTGTTTTTTATTGAGGTCCGCAGACTTGGAAGAATGTTTTTTCGCTATACGATTTCATGTACTGGATAGCCTGTTTATTCAGCTTCAATTTTATTTTTTCAAAACCTCGATATGCTCATCTCTTTATGAAATATCAATCTAATGGAAAAGGGCCCTTTAGCTTTAATCTTTAATATCGTGTAGAGAAAATCCAAAGCTGGTTTGGAAAACTTAGGTGGATTTTTGAGGAAAGATGACTATGGAAAACATTTTTTTCCATCTTCCATACGAGCTGAAAAAAGAAATAGGAAAAAGGGGTAATTATGACTTTTTGGAAAATCAAGGGTTAAATTGAACATATTGGCAAAATAATAATGACTGTTATAGCTCTATATACACACAATAACTTTGAAAAGCTTCACTTAGCTTTACTTAGACTTTTTTTTAGCAATGAAATTGTTGAGATAATTACAGGATCACGTTTAAAGCTGCTAAGAACATTGATATTGAAAACATCTTTTTTTGAGCTTTTTCCACATTTTTATTACAAAGAGTATTAAATTTTTTAAAAGAGATTTTTCCGTAAGCTGCGCCAATTTTTTGTAAGGAAATCGTGCAAAAAACAAAAAAAAAGTTTTTGTCACGGTTAACATTAGCCATTTTGTCGATATTTGTTATTTAGCTTTTGGTTCTCCGAGAAACCGTGATTTGCCCCATTTTCCTGTTTCCTTTTTCCAACTCATATGAATAATGATAAGCATTTTTTCATAAATGATTGATGATGATTGATTTTTTTATAGAATCTACGCTAGCTTTTCAAAACACCCTGAGATTTTCTGTACGATGATTGGTTCCTGAGATATCGTTAATCAAAGCCAAGTGGGGTATTTTTTCATTTAAAATTCGAAGAAGTGGACATATCGATATTTTCAAAAAACAAATTGAAGCCAAGTGAACAGGCTATTAAGTCCATGCAACGTTTTAGCAGAAGAAAACTTAAATGAAGATATAAAAAGATGTACACCTTTTTTTCTTCACAAAAGCTAGACATTTGAAACTTAAAAATACTACTTTCAGGGTCCTTTTAGAAACAATTATTTCTAAAATATAGCTCTTCAGATTGTCGCTAAAAATTTACAGTTTTTATTTGATTCCTGTTTCTTCCATTAGTGTGCATTAAAACAGAAGCTTCTACTTATAAGAAGCGGATCCGGAGAAACATGCGTTCATTATTTATGATGAACTCAACCTTTACATTCTGCTTCATCCGGAGGTTGTGTTAAGAGCCAAAACATTGATTCTGTCGGATATTGGAAAAACAGAACGCATCCATGGTCCATAACAGATCTGGGGGAAACTTATGGGAAAGCAATCTTGAATGAGATGAGAATTTCTTGAGCATCGCGCGCATAAAGTGTAAAATGAATCGATTTCTTCATTAGGTTGGGGTATTTTTAAATAAATAACCTTCAGAGGGCAAATTAAGTATTGGCGCCTCGACGGCCGACCAGCAGTTGTTGAAGCAGCTGATAAACAGCCAATCGCGTGGGAGGATGTAGGGAGCCTGCATCCGATATTTGCAAAGTTGTAAACACATCGGGGAGCGTGTTACGAGCATCACGTGTAGTGGCTGGATAGTCTGGCTCCATTCTGGTGTAGCGGGGAGCTAACAAACTAACAACAGAAAAATACACTTAGTATGGAATTTCAAGGCTCCAAGTAGGATAGACTACCCAGTCAGTGGCGCTTCAAGAACATGCGCGTCCAATTTTCTCAAAAAGTATAGTTAATGCTGTTTGTACTTAATTAAATTATAAAGGGTGAGCCATCAGTTGGCATTATTTTGACAGACGGTAACACTCAACATATTGACAGATATATTGTGTAGGTTCGTGAAACTGGCCTGCTTGTGGATAACAGAAGGTATGAGCGCGTTCGACCCGTATGTACAGCCGTAAACGTCCTAGAGTGTGCGTGAAAACGCAAGAATGTCAACTCGTTACAGAGCACAACAAGTGGGCATCAGTCGCACTTCTGTGCTGAGAATATTGCATAACGACTTGGGACTATTTCCTTACAACGTGCAACTTGTGCAAGAGTTGAAACTAAATGACCATTCGTTTCGATATCGTTGGGCTCTAAATCAATTCGAAACAGACGTCAATTTTGGTCGCCAACTCATCTTTTCGGACGAAGCCCATTTCCATCTGGGAGGTTACGTTAACAAGCAGAACTGTAGGACTTGGGGTTCTGAAAATCCACATGTCGTCATAGAAAAACCAATGCACCCAAAAAGAGTAACTGTTTGGTGTGGCTTTTGGAGTAGTGAAATTATGATAAGATGAAGATGGCACTTGAAACCAAACATGAACCATTACCTGCTTCAAGATCTGTTAGCATCTTTTAACTTGCTTAACCATTGTCATGGAGCTACTCATACAGCTATCAATAAACACAACAAAATAACAGAAACAGCAATAGACTATATTATTACCAACATTAACGTAAATCATTTAAAATGTACAGTCTATGAACCTCACATATCAGACCATACAGCGCAACTCTCAGAACTAACTACATCGCCAATAATGGAAGAGCACCGTAAGGAATCAAATATTTCGGCTTACACCCATAGAAAAATAAACGCTGACCACCTGAAAACCTTCAAATCCAAGTTAGCCCAAGAAGCATGGGATATCAGTGAGCAAGATATTGATGCTGGATTTGAACAATTTATCAACACTATCCTGTGGCACCTAGATATAACATGTCCCCGGCGAAAGTATGGTATTTCAAAAAAAAAGCAAAATTCAAAGCCTTGGGTAACTCCTGAGATACAAAAATCTAGCCAAAACTTAAGATCCTTGTACTCCTCATGGAAAAGGCAAGACACTAGTCAGGAACTCGAGCAACTTTACCTTGAACAGAGAAAAGTTCATAGAAGGCTGATATCATCAACCAAGAGGATATACTATGCACATACCATTTCGGAACCTACAAATAAGCCCAGACGAATATGGGATATAGTAAATCAAGAAATTGGACTGGCGAAGACGCAACGAAATATTGCAATCAAACACTGTCCCAAGGAAATTACAAACTTCGAGATACCTGATCAATTTGGAAAATACTTTGCTACCATAGCACATACGAAGTTGGAGAGGCACTTTCAAGGGATGCCGGCATCGAATTGTACAGTTCAGCGACTTTCTACCAACTCGATGGTCTATGAAGAAGTTACGGCTGCAGAGATCTTAGAAATAATAGATGACCTTCCAAATAAAAAATCCTGCGGCAGTGATGACATATCAACGCGAGTGGTGTAAACTATAAAATGTGAGATATCAACTCCACTTTCACAGCTTATAAATAAGTCAGTGCTGAAAGATAAATTTCCAAAGTGTTTCAAACTTTACGCTGGCTTGTTTCTTTTCTATCAAACAGACAGCTTAAAACAAGAGTGAATGGTTCTTCGTCGGGGGTGTATGACATAAGCATTGGTGCAGCCCAGGGCTCGGTACTAGCGCCACTCCTGTTCATTTTGTTTATGAACGACCTAAAACTATCTGGCCATATGGTCAACTACGCTGATGATACGTCAGTAGTAGTTAGTGCCGCAACACCAGTTGACCTGCTCCAAGCAATTGAGCGAGTTGAAACAGAAATGAACGACTGGTGTGTATCAAACCGCCTTATACTAAACGCTGATAAAACAATGTATGTGCATTACCACAATAGCAAACCACGGTTCTTAGGAACTCATATTGATGGGAAGTTGGGCTGGCAGTCACATGTGAATCATGTCATTAAGAAACTCAATAGTGCATACTTTGCAATCTTGAAACTCAAACAAAACATCTCCCAAACAGCTCTTATAGATATCTACTACGCCTTGGCTTACCCGCATCTTAGCAATATTATAATACTATGGGGACAAGCAGTCATGAACAACAGAGTCTTCATCTTGCAGAAAAGAGTACTCAGGCTGATTTTCAATATCAACAAAAGAGACTCTTGTAAAGATATTTTCAGAACATATAATCTGCTAACTTTAATATCCATCTATATATATATATATATATATATATATATAAATGCGCTCTCTTCGCATTTAAACATAGGACCAGTTTTATTCAAAACAACTCAGTTAACAGGCACTACAACACCAGAATAGGTTTTGACTTAAGTATGCCAGTCCACGCAACAGCCCAGTTTCAGAAATCACCACTCTATGCCTGTACAAAAATTTACAATAAACTACCAATTGAGTTCCGCAGAAGCACTAATATGTTGACATTAAAGAAACGTCTGAGAAGATATCTATCAGAAAAGTGTTACTACACCGTCGACGAATACCTAACTGCTTAATTTTATTTATCTATTCTTTTTATTTATTTATTAAGCTTAACGGAAAAGAAACAGTCTATTTATTGCTCCTCTTCTAGACATTTGAAGTGCTCAATTGTTTTTATTTATTTAAAATTGATTATTTTTTTTCATGTTCGTTAGATGTCATTAAGAGTTTGTTTGTGTTTGTAATGACTATTATTTTATTTATTTTTTTGTTTATTATTTATTATCTCAATTACTGTTTTAATTAACTACCTGTTCTTTTTTGAATATCGCATACTTATGTATTGTATATGTAATGTTGACAAGTCTTATGTCATAGCTATTTATGACCAAAAGACAATAAAGACATAGTCAAGCGGAATCGCACAGCAACCCTCTGTTGCGTGACTCAATGGACTACACAGTGGAGCAAGTTCGTAAACATTCAAGGCCACGGCTCGCACTGTAATCAAAAGTTATCGCGAATCTTTAGTAAACTCAAAATTACACTCTAACAAAACCGAATCAAAAAATTTGTTTAGTTCACCTCAAAATTAATCCGTGTACCAAGTCAAAAAGCCTAGGTGTTTCCTCTGAAACTATCTGTTTTTCTTTGTTCTTCTCCATTTTTCTTCTCTTTCCCTTTCTCTTTTTCCTTGACTTTGTCTGGTTTCTGGGCAGCCAGGACTGACAGATTCGACTAACGTACATCAGACAGTGACTAATGGGCAAAGGTCCTACGGACCGCCTAGACAAATAAATGATGAATAGTAGACAATAAAGACTATCTATCTATCTATCTAAGAGCATGACGGTAAACGGGGAACGCTAGAGAGACATGAGGAGTTTTTTGTGGCCACTATTAGACGACATGCACTTGCACAACCTCTAGTTCCAGCAGGATGGCGCAACATGCCACACCAGCCTTGAAATAATCGATCTTTTACACACTAAGTTCGGTCATCGCGTTATCAGCCATTTTGGAGACGTCCATTTGCCAGCCCGCAGCTGTGACTTGACGCCCATGGATTACTTCGTATGGGGCACTGTTAAGGCCCGCTAACGATCCTCAAACAACTGATGTTCTTAAGGAAAATATCCGTCGAGCTATTGATGAAATAGACCCTCAAACTATATAAAATGTGCCTAGAATTAGGTTAAGAGGATGGACTACTGCCAGGCCAGCCGCGGCAGCCATTTAACTGAAATTGTTTTTCATAAATAAATAATCGGTAGGTGTATCCTTTTGAATAAAGTATCGAGTGTTACATATTATTGAAGAGTGTAGTTTTAATACCAATTAGAAAAAGAAAGCAACGGATGGCCCACCCTTTATATTGTATATGCAGAAACTCCTTCTTCTTTGAAAAGAAAAAGATGTTATACTATTTTAATACAAAAGTAAGCGTTTTACAGCACTATTTTAGAAAAATCGCATTTTCTTACTTCCCACGCCTACTAGCGAGGAAGTTTTTTTTTTATACTCCAACTACCACGAAGGCCTAAGGCCTAAACACCTATTGGTTACCGTGGGGCTATAGGGGGATACAGGGGAAAGCTGGACCGCCACACGGACTCTGGCGAGGGAACACGTGTGCATGCACATCCCGGCTCCGCTTACGAGATCCGCCGGGTGGTACCTCCACGTTCGACAGTCAGAGACCATCTACCACCTACGGACAATCACAACATCCATAGCCAAGAGAAAAATTTCTATTGGGACGGGACTCGAACCCGCACAGCGCACGGCGACTGCTCAGGAGACCGAAGACTCTACTACTGCGGCCACCGCTGCTGCTACAAGTATTGTGTTTTGGATATTGTATTACATATACATAACGAAAAACCATGTCACTCAGTTCCGTCGGCCTTTCGGTCTGTCTGCCGGTCTGTCCGTTAATCTTTGGACCGCCTATAACTTGGAAAGTACTAGTCGGATTTGGATGGCATTTACATACAAGGTTAATATACTAAGTGACATATAAATCCGAACACCCAGTTTAAATGGTTTTATTTTAATAAAATTTTGTATAAGTACTTAATGAAGCTTAATAAGTAAATGATAAAAATTTCAAAATGATTGCACTGCTTTAAAGCCCTTTGACCTTTAATAATGTGTGGATGCACCCTGTTGTGCTACGCATTCTCCAACGCGCCTAGGCATGCTTCTGATCAGGTGGTCAATGTCCTCCTGTGGTATCTCATTCCAGGCAACCACCAACTCCTCTCCAAGTACTTCTAGAGTCTGAGGAGGACGTTGCAAATTGAGCAATCTCCTATCCATCATATCCCACACGTGCTCAATTGGGGATAAGTCGGGAGATCTTGGTGGCCATGGTAAC